TTCAGCTTATTCTCTGTCACAGAATACTATTGAATCATCCAAAACCATCCAAAATTCACTGTGCACTGCACCAGCCGAACACAGTGATTGCCACATAGGAAGCTTTACAGAAATAATTTTTTTTTTGTAAAAAGTGATCCGTAGTCTCTACCATGTCTATAAACAAGGAGAAATATTCCTGGTAACCAATTCCTATTTGAAATAATTCTTGATTCTTATACTGTTTGTGCCAATCTGGTTCATGGATTTGTCATTGTTGCTTATAAACTCTTTGTTTGATCTTATGTTTTAAAAGGAATGGCAACTGAGAAGATATTCTTGTCCCTTCTTATGATCATTGTGTTTTGGAGGATGTTCTTATTGTCTCTAGAGGAAATAGATGAGATGGTGAGCTTATCTATGTGAGCTATTGTAAAGTTTTGATCAAATTTGTGAAGATGCATGTATGTTTGTTGAAGTTGAATCTTAGTTGTGTAGTGACATTTGTATTATTGTGGATAATTGTTGATGGATTAATTTTATTTTTTTAACCATTTAAAATTGTCTTGTTGGACTGTCTGTCGCTAAAACCATATGTACAATCGCACAGTCTGTCGCTAAAAAGTAGCAATGGACTATCTGTCGCTAAAAAGTATCAATGGACTATCTGTCGCTATAAATATTCGAGGCAACATATTATCTGTCGCTAAAAGTATTGTCTGACGCTAAAGATTTTTAGCGATATGACTTATAGCGTCTGTCGCTGTAAGTTTTAAGCGTCAGATTGTTTGTCGCTGTAGCCGCTTTTAGCATCATATCATCCATCGCTAATCTCGGTGTTGTGGTGTAGTGTCGCTGGCGTCCCCGAACGGCGACGCTATGCAGCGGGTGGCCGCCGCCTTCACGGAGGCGCTGGCGCGGCGCGCTCTGCGCGCGTGGCCCGAGCTGTGCCGCGGCGCGGCTCTTGCCCCGTGCGGGACCCACGCCCGCCAAGCTTGCCGCCGCGCGGCGCTTGACCTGCTCCGCGTAGTGCGTGGCATGGAGCACAGAGTGGTCATACCCGTCGTCGTAGCCGTCAGAGTAGTCCAAGGGGCGTCGGGGGCGGGCGGGGCTCCGGCCTAGGCAGTGCAGGGGCGCCGGCGGGCGGTGTAGGGGCGGGGGAGGAAGAGTCGGAGGAGGTGGTGGCGCTCCTTGCCGCGGCCGTGAGGAATCGAAGGAGCGCGGCCGCACTCGGAAGGGGCACCGAAGGTCACCATAGCCCTGTTCCCTTCTCTTATAATCCGTACTTTTCAGCTCGTTTTTTTAGCCGGAACAGTATTTTTTTCTCTCACAGAACAGTGTTTCGGCTTGTTTTTTCAGCGAAGCGAACGGGGCCCATAACGGTTTATAACGGTTCGAGTGCGCCCTTCCTAGCCGGGCTGTGGAGAAACAAAGGGTAGTCGTTTTTTCCAGGACCTGGTTCCCAGCTGTTTTAAGCAGCGTGCTGCCCAGGTCCAAAACGTGTCCAGGCAAACAATCATGACCTCCTGCAGCCCACGGGTCTGCATCTAGCTCTCGTCAAACAAACACGCCTCTATTGACACGACAAGGACGGGCCAGAATGACTGAATGGGAGAGAGTGGGATGGGGTCACGGCATTGTAGGTGTCGTGAAAAGAACTTTTATTTCTATATTTTTAAATATTATTTTTTAAAATAAATACCTAAGTCAAATTTTGCAAATATATACTTATTATACTGCCAATTGGGTCGTCAAGACTCAAGAGCAGGATTTTTAAACTTTTAGTTCGGTGGTAAGTGGTAACGACTAGCGCCAATTGATTCGACGCAAGGTGCCTGGTTAGCACCCGTTGTGTGTACGTCGATTTTTTTTTTAAATCCTTCTTTTTAAAATGCAAAACAAATGACCTAAGGGTCATAAAAATTATATTTCAAATAAATATTTTAAAAACAAGCACGATCTATTTTAGCCATATCGTCTAGATTATAGCTTTTGCAGTTTTGAAATTAATATTCTTTTCAGAATGCTCCTATTTGAGTTTTCGATTGAGCTGTTTACCTCTAAAATGTATTCCGAAAATTCAGAAAGAAAAACGTCTAGATAATGGTTTGAAAAGTAGTATTTATGTAGTAGTGACACTGTGACAGTAGGAAGTCCAACGGCTACTTGCTTGTCCTGAAAGTAACAAATGCTTTTGAGTCTTGGTCAGCTGGGCCAGAAATGATTTCTTTGTAGCCTGGCCCCTTCAGGCTGCGTTTGTATTGGGCTGAATTCGACACCTGCCCAATTTATGCGCGGTAGGGTTGTTGCTTCAACCTGTTTTGTTAAACAAAAAATGACATTTTCCAACCGTTTTAGTTGGACTCACCACGTCATATTTATGCCAAAGGACGTCTTTCGACACGATATAGAAGCTGGATGCTTCATGGAGTTCAAATTCTGCTTTAAGTTTTTAGGATGCAAATGAAGTCGAGAACCAGTTCGACGACCATGGATGACGACTAGGGATGAAAACGAGATGCATATTTTCCGATATTCGTCTGTTCTGAAGGATCAAGACCTGATATGGATAGTCCGTATCTGAATCCGAATATTTGATATCTATACCATATCTGAATCCAAATACTTAAAATCAGATCAGATTTCTGATATGTATATGAGATAGATATCAGTATTCGACATGATCTTTATTCGCTTGTGAGATCGAAAAAATATGGGATAGAATGCAGGATCCCTGATATCCATCTGTATATTCGATCCGATTTCATCTCTAATGGCGATATACATTGTCAGCATAGGAATATGTTATGACAGTATGCATATATCCGACACGCATCTCGCCCTGGGAAGAATGAGATATGATACACGCGTATGTATGGTACTTATAACACAGATAAACCGTCATTTATAGGGTAAACTACATTTTCCAATCGGAAATGCTACAGTGCAAGCGTCCGACCATCCGGACGCCGCGCTTCCCAGGCCTGTGCACTAGCTACCAGCCCAATAGGCCTGTTTCCCTCTATCTTTATTCTTTCACTGTTTCTCAAAATAAAAAAGACGGCGACATTCCCAACTAGCACGGCCGCCATGGTGTTCCATACAACTTGCCCGCCGCTCGCCTTCTCCAGCGGCGACCACCTCTGCTTCCTCCGCCCCAGGGCCCTCGCTCACCTCCGTGACGTCAGGCTGCACCGCTGGAGTCACGCCTGTCACCCGCCCCTGCCCTCATCACCGGAGCCAACGCGGGCATCCTCCTCGCCACCTCCTCCTGTGGCTAGAGATCGCGAGGGCATCACGACCGTGCCGTACTTCACGCTCGCATCAAGGCTCTGTCACCCCGGTGCCCCCAGCGGAAGAAGCTCGCGGCAGCCAAGCCCGTGGTGCTCTTCGCTCCGCCACCTCCCATCCCTGATCTGCCCATCAAGGCGGTTAACGAGTTTCTCAATGTGCCTGACATGGTGGCCGCCTCCCACTAGAGTGTCGCGCCTAACATGTTTTTTAGGGCAAAAACTGTGGAGAAGATCCCCACAACACTTTTCAAATTAATTAACAGGACACTAGAAACTTACAAAGGTCGCTAACTGATTGCATCCAACCAGTAACAAAAGGATGACATGATGTCTTCCTTGAAACAGACAGACTGAAGCAACCATTGATTTTTAAAATTACAAAGCCAAAGATTAAAGCTAGCATTTCTCTTAAGGTATGTTGCAAGCGTATGTTTTAAGTGTTCATATGTTTCCAAAGGTATGTTGCAAGTGTTTCATATGGATGTTGCAAAAGTAGATCGGGATGTTGCAAAGTGTTTTAGAGGCATGTTGCAAGCGTTTGTTCAAAATGTTTCTCTGTTTCAGACGTATGTTGCAAGCATTTTTTATTTGGATGTTGCATATGTTTCACACATATGTTGCAAGAGTATGTTCAATTTCAATCTTACGTTGCAATGAGTGTTTTCATGTTGCAACTTGCAAGTGTTTTATTGGGATGTTGCATATGTTTCACACACATATTGCAGAGTGCATGTTCTAAATGTTTTATCTGCTTTTAGACGTATGTTGCATTCAAGTGTTTCATGTTGCAAGTGTTTCGTGTTTCAGATGTATGTTCAGAGAGTCATTGGGGCATTACCTGGGCGCCGTGGGAAGGGGTTCGGCGAGCCGAGGGGCCGGCGGATGGGGCGCGCGACGCGCCTGGGGTCCTGCGGACGGGGCGTGCTCATCCTCATCCCGGCTCCTGGGTCCCGCCCACGCGGAGAGAGAAGGGGTCAAGGAGGAGGAGCGACGGACGTGGGGCGGGGTGAGGCGGATGGGGGCGGGGTATGCATGCGGGGCGGGATGAGGTAGACGAAGAAGGACTACAGCGATACGCTGGGAGTGCGACGCTTTTCTGATGGGTTCCGACGGAATTCTATCCCCATCGAACATCCGGGCGCCAATAATTCCCTTTTCCAACCTTCAAGTTGCATGTCAAGCTGTTTTTAACCCTGAACTACGAAACCTGATAATACGTCGCTAGAGTTGAGTATATTACAAACACTAGAGTACTAGGGTTGAGTATACTAATATAACAAATTAGTGGTAGAGTACTAGAGTTTTTTTTTGTTATCTCGGTAACTAGAGCTGAGTACAGAACAAACAGTAGGGTACTAGAGTTGAGTATCTTGATCCCATATCATGATGATCAGTCTAGACAGGCTCCATAAATACGTGAAAAATGAGCCAGCACAAGAGACGACGCAGCTGCCACCATGTACCAGCACCATGCACATGCATGCATGTAATAAACGACATAACTACAACCCCTTTGACACGGTTCGTCCAAAACGGTTTCACCGATGAAGCCAAAGCCGATGAAGCCAGAAAAACTGGTTTTTCTAGGCTTCTAGTTCATTTTAACCCCAGCTTACAAAACGACTTCACACTACAGTGACTCGATTTGCGCAAAATAGATGAAACCGAAGGCGACATAAACCGTGTCAAGAGGCCCTACATGTCCTCTTGTGCGCGCGTGTGAGCGTGTCACAGGAGCAGGTGCGGGGCGCCGCCGTGGTGCAGCCCGGCGGCCTCCACTGCCGACGCCGCCGCGGCGAGCTCCTGCCACAGCGCGCCGGCCCCGGCGAAGGGGAACACGCTACTAGCGGCTTTCCACGTCGTCGTCATCTCCGCGCGGTCGCCCTCCAAGATCGTCGCTGTCGCCGCGGGCCACGGGAGCGGCCCGGCGCCCAGCGACAGTTGCTGGTGGTAAGCCAAGTCGGCAGCTGCCCCGTCGGCGGCGGCGCCTAGCGCTGCATCCCCGAGGCCGAGGTCGAAGCCGAGCCGGCCTTCCAGCAGCGGCGCTGTGCCGAGCGCGAGCAGCGGTGACGCCAACGCCGACGCCGCCGACGCGGACACCGAGCCCAGCAGCAGCGAGCTGACGAGGAGGCCGCCGCCTCCCGCGCCCTGCAGCAGCGGTGCTGGGGAGGCGAACGGGCTGCTGCCGGCCGAGGCGGTCGTCGTCGTTGTTGTTGATGAAGGCGTGGCCATGGCGGCGGCGACGGCGGCGGCCATGGCGCGAGTGGGGCGCGCCGGGCGCGGTCGCGGGCGCTTGCGCGTGGACCCGCCCACGGGGACGTTGCGGAGGGATCCCCCGAGCGTCCAGTAGCGGCGGCACGCGCGGCAGAAGTGCCGCGGCTGCGCCGTGTTGTAGTTGTTGTAGTAGCAGAACTTGGTGTCCCGCGACGCGCACCGCGGGCACTGTTCCCGCCCCGGTCCCGGCCCCGCCGCCGTGGCCGAAGGCGCCTTGTTCCCGGCGGCCATCATCAGCGCGCCCGCCGCCACCGCTTGCTGCAGCAACGCGTCCTGCGGCAGGGGCGGCGGCGGTACGGGGAACTGGTGCAGCGGCGCCTCCATGGTGGATAGCAGCAGGTGTCGGTTTGGAGGAAGAAGCTGCTGCTGCTGCGCGCGCGGTCGGTCGATGATGCCTTGCCCGCCCTGCCCTGCCGGTGTGACACTGTGAGTAGAGCCGTGCGGCCGTGCCCCGTGCCCCGTGCTGCTAGGTGCTAGCTGCTTATATAGCGCAGCGCACGCCGGCCAGTCGGCCACGGTGGCGGTGGATGATGGCGGTGTGCAGTTCCGCGCAAGCACAGTGCTTGTCGAGCGGAGCAGAAGCAGAGAGGGACTGCTCGGACCGGGGCGCGCTGCGGATGGTACGGAGGTGGCAGCATGCAGGTCGGAGAGAGGTATCCAGCTAGGTAGTAGGGACGAGGACGACAGCAGGAAGCAGCACGGTGGCTGGCCACAACCACAAAGGTTACGTAGCTTTCTGTTGCAGACGAAGCAGAGGATCGATGGAGCGAATTCCTGATTCTTGCTTCTTGCATGGCATCAACAATAATGCACATGGACAATGCAATGAAAGACAGGACTCATCCTACAACTGTTTCCTGGTCTCATGCATCTCACCCTGCACCTGCTGCAGCCCTGGGTGGCCGGCTACACACGCTCAGTCTCATCTGCTGCATCTATCTAGCTAGCTAGCTAGCGCCGCCTAGCCAGCAGCTGGTAGCTCAATATGGCCGGCCGGGCCGAGTGAGAGGCAGCGCCGGTGCTAGGATTTCGAGACTAATAAAATCTTATATTATATGGGCATAAATTTTACTTGGAAAGGGAAAGTAAATCCAATAATATATTTTTAATTTAACATGACTAAATTTAAAGAAAAACATAACTATATGAGTATAAAGTACTAGAAGTTTAGAATACTATACAAATAATTAATTTAGATTAAAAATGAATAAGAAAAAAATACCTAGAGCTTGGATATGAACTGAAACAACTAAACACAATTCACAAGAAGGCAAAGAAGGCAAGAACCAAAATATCATCGCCGTGGAGCCCTACATGGTCCTTGTCGCCGCTGTCGTGCACTGTTCTTGGGCTCTGCGGCGCGGCTCGTCGCCTCGTCCGACTCCGCGTGTGTGCGTCGGGACTCGGGCGTCGGCGAGTGAGCGTGTCGCGAACTCGCGAGTCGCAATCTGCAATCGGCACTGCGGCGCGGCTCCTCGCCTCCTTGGGCCGGTTAGCTAGTTCTTTGTCTCTCTTCTCATTAGTTTGTTGATGCCTAATGGATTATATGGCATTGGGGGTTTATATACCTGGGCTTAGGCCCCTCCGGTCTAGGCCCTCGGCCGTCCCACCTCATGCCCTACCCCTAGGGCTGGCACTGGCGAGAGGAGGTCTGCGCCTGCTGCGCTAGCTGATGTCCTGCTTGAAGCTCGAGGGCGACGCATCATGCATGCTGAATGCTGATGCCCCGACCCCGATGCCCGAACCCCAGGATTCCTTTGAATAAATCCTTTGCCGGGTTAGCTTGGCTTCTTCCTCGCAAGGTAAATAAACTTGTCTATAAGAGAGAAGCCATATGCCACCGGCACCACTAGCTAGCCAAGCACAATATGATAGACGAGCGATAGGCCGATAGCAATTGTTCTCTCTGCACAAGTTAATTCCCATTCCCTCTCTTGTCGCAAACCCAATGAAGCTTACAATGATCCTGCACTAGTACAAAACATTTTCTTTTCTAAAGATGAACAAAATCAGTTTTTAATTTAGAGATGGTTTTTACGGCCGTCGCCAGACGGAATGCATTGGATGACGACATACCGGACCGCACCTGGATGACTTAGTGGTCTACCCATATGTACCGATCGAGTACGCACGCTATTGGCGGGCATTGCACGTTGCCACTGGGTACGTGCTACGGGACACGGCCGGGCTGGGAGGACAGAGCGCAGGGACCGGGCGCCCTTGTTGGGGAGCAACGCATATGCAGGTCCGCGGCGCGGTTCCAAGCGGAAACCGCCAATGGTAAGGCTCCGCACGGCCGCATTGCATGCGAGCTGAGCGCCTGAGCCTGAGCGAGCACGCTTCTGGCCGGCGGGTCGCGGTCGCGGTCGGGGCCGACGAGCCGCGCTTGGCAGGCCGCCAGGCACAGGCAGGCAGCTGTAGCCTGTACTGTGTACAGTGGAGGACGCCAGACCGCTCGCCGAACAATCGCTGCGAGAGCCTGCGAACGTTGGCAGACCGATCGGTACATAGCGAGCGAGCGGACGACGCGGCAGCGTCCGTCGGCGTGCAATGCATGCATCGACATCGGCATCGGCATCGGCGCCGGCGGCCTGGGTGGCGACGTCGACGTGCGTCGTGGCGTGGCGCGCGGATGCGCGCTCGGTTGGCCGGGCGCCCGCGCCGCGCCGGGGGTCGATGGCGAATTGGCGATTGGCGATCGGGTCCGGCCAGCGGCAGCCGGCAGAGCGGATGCGTCGGCGGCATGCATGTGTAGTAGTCGCGGTCAGGGACGCCAGCCGGGGCCGATCGATGCGTGCATGGCATACATGCAGTGACAGTGAGAGAGCAACACGTACGTCAGGGGTACGTACGTTATTACGGCGCGTGTGGCCAAGGGGATCGATGCGATGGCTCATGGCTCCACGAGTGAGCTGGCAGCCGGCCGGCCGCTCTCATCACGTACGACGACGACGACGGCGACCACCGTACCCGTCAGCTCAGCGCGCGCCTCTGGTTGTTCCCTGCGCCGCCTCAATAGGAGAGCCCGACCGTTTCTCTCGCTGCTCACATCATCATCATGCTGCTCCGTCGTCCTCGTGGGACACACAGCATCATTGTATAGGTAGAACCGTAGAAGATGCAGGTATACACTAGAGCCCAAAGTGTGATCAGAAGGAAACTGGAAGTGACGAGAGTTTTGGTGCTATTCGTCTATTTACAGATTTATTTACATTTATTAGAATTAGAGATGCATATGTCGCTACTCGATCGCTACTGTAAAATCACTATTTTAACCACGTTTACTCTTCCGTTCGCATGCAAGAGCGATTTATTGGCTTGTGGTTTAGGAAAATCATAGGATACAGATGTTTTATTAGGATTGAAATTTGTGAATTGATTATATACTTCAGAAACATATTTTCTCCTTTTTTTTTGTTACTAGGTAGCGTGCCTGTGCGTTGCTACGTGACAACTAAATCTTTTATATTAAAAACACACGGATCGCACGATAAGATGACAATACTGTTAAATTAAATACCGACGTTAAAGTGATATTTAATTCAAAAATTAAAGTTCATGAAATTAACACAGTCACGAAGAGCGTGGCGTCGCAGGCTCACAAACTCTACTGTATAGATTTTTTCGTGATATGTCTAAGATAATATTTTATATCGGCAGAAAGAATTCTCCGATATCCATTTCTTTCATGCGCCAATAAATCCATGAATAAGTTCTGCTGCATCTCCATATAATCATGTACACACAGGTTCGAGTATATATGTAAATATTAGTGCCTGTCACATAAATAATACTGCGTGTCTTAAAAAATCTCATAAATTTTTAAAACAAAGTATGTTATACTCACCGTATAAATATGTGTGGCTTTAGGACTATTCCACACAGACATATATTGTAGAATAAGGTATCCACTTGAGTGTCTGTTCTAAGATGTTGAATTAGGTGTTGTAATTCTTAATTTCGACATATTTTTTAGGTCAAGACAACCAATGGTGATACTTTTCTTAGTGGTGCATAATTTTATGGTGTACCTCTTGACTATCTGAGTAAAGACAAGTTAGCATTGCAAAGGCTCTGAAAAGTTGCCGAAAAGGCCAATGTTGAGTTTTCCTCCACTATGCATACTAAAACATATGTCTCCGTTTATCATTGCCGATGCTTTTGATGCAAAGCAATTCAACATTATCATGATCAGATATAAGTTTGAGTCTCTTATGAGCAATTTCATAGAGGGACTCTCATCCTTTATGTGATCTGCCTCAAGGATATTGACAGGACGATGGACCCATGTTGGAATGTCGCACAAAAAAGTGTCCACGTTTTGTCCACGATTTATTTCCCATAAATACATGCGGGTACTATGATAACACTAACTACACCAAATGAAAGATTAGAGAGAATTTGCATTGTCTCCGAAAGAATTTATTTATTAAGTTCTTTGGACTCTACAGATAGTTTTGAAATACCTGTTTGTATGTCTTAGCTCGTATCCTAATTCAAAATTTTATAGTTTAATTAGAATATGGGGAAATGAGTCAAAATGAACAGACTCAAGGGCAATTTCAGCAAGAAACAGCAAGCGAGGGCGATGGAACACGTGAGCGTGAAACCAAATGAAAGGAGGAAAAAACTGTCCCTTTTGTAAATGCAAAGAGAGAAAGTAATTAAATGTAGACAGATTTAGCAAGGTTATCAGAAAATGCAAAGAGGTTCCTTTTGTCTTAATTCTCTTTCCTTCTGTATTAATTCTCTTTCCTTTTGCTCGTTGCCATATATGCTGGTGCATACAAATATGCAATGTGTATATGGATAGCACAATAATTTTCTACTTCCTATTTTGCCGTGATTCCTCTATCATATGACAGACAATCTTCGATCAAGGAGAATCGCATCAAAAGACGCAGCATGCGGGCGATGTCATGGGATCGCAGGCGTGGGCAAATGGACGAACCAAAACAAATGTCACACAAAAAAATATCCACACTTTATTCCTTTTAGTTGTAGAAGATTCTTCATGCGATCAAATATGGCAATTGTTTCCGAATCGAACGACTCACATAGCGTCTTCTTCATCCGCACGGGGCTTGCTCACAATCAGCTCCTCCGCCGTCCACCACTAGGCACTAGTCAACCCCGTCCTCCTCCACCAAAAGCCAACCACGGTTGCTCTCCTCCCCTTACACTATTACACTAAGGCCTGTTTGGTAAAGTTTGGAGTGACTCCGATTTTGGCTTCTTCATGCACTATAGTGAAGAGATGTTTTTTCTCTCTCCTCTGGAAAATAAACTAGGAGCTGTTCAAGCCACTATTTTCTTTTTGCTTC